GTGGTACTGAACGGCATAATCTGTGGAAAACCTGCAAGCCTGAACCTGACAGTGTTCCCAGAAACAACCTCAAGGAAATTGCACCATTATGTAGAGAGCAGTGGTTTCAAAACAGAAAAATAAACTAACACTTGAATCACTCATCCAAAATGTGTCAGAGTTCAAAAATTAATAACACTACATGAAAAACACAATGTAGTACAGTTCATAAAAGGCCAGTCAAAGTGAAAGGACAGGATTGATTCAATGCAAACGCAGTCATACTCAGTGCAAGTGACATGAGATAACCTGAACAACTTGATTTCATTAATCTTCTTATACAAATATTCAGTTTCCTTTAATAGCTTTTTAGGCAATTCTATAATTCAACCAAGTATTAAAAGCTCAAACAGAAAACCAAGTATTAACTTTTATCCTTTCTACGAAGTAACCTTTACAATAGTTCCCTACTCTGAAATTCACACAGATACACTTACCCTGGCTGTTGGTGCACTGCTGCGGGCCTTGGCTAGCAGTCGACGGGCTCTTTCATACTCATTATTCTCCGACTCCAGTTTGACAGCAGCAAGCCAGATCTCTTCACTGTTTGGGTTAGCCTATGAAAACAGACAGAGGAGGACAGAGGGAGAGGAGAAGCAGAAGACACAGGATAACAGAGTTAGACATAGGTATACATAGATTACTCTAATATTTGACATGCTGTATCGAGAAGTGAATGCTTTTTAATTACCTGGAAGGCCAGAGCAAGGATGCTTCTGGCTGCTGGCACATCCTCAGCAAGCCACTTGGACTTGGCACCCATTAGCCACAATACCTCTGCTTTGGGGCAGTGAGCCACAGCCCTCTGAAGTAAAGCCTCCAAGGACTCTCTGAGAAATTAAATGTGCCATGAAAGAATAATGGATGCGGCGGCGACGACGAAGCAGCAGGTCATAAAGCACAGGAGCAAAAAAGAATAAATAAGTATAGTGATGCGAAACAGCAACTGTCACCTTCTGACTGCTAATGTTTGCATTTGGAAATTAAAGATTGTCACCTGGTGCCATGGTTCTTCTCAAAGTAGGCAGCTCTAAGCCAGACACTTTTTTTACTTGGGAATACTTGGAGAGCATGGGCGTAGATGGCCCTGGCACACTCCAGCGCCCCATGGGCCACACACTGAGGCACAAACACACAACCATCTCATTGTTAAATTTAACTACAACAGCAAGTATGTAAAAAACTTATTTTAAAAACCCCAAACTAATCTCTCTATACTTACACTCTCGGCATCTTCCATCCAGGTGTGTTTGCGGTCCTCCTCCTCAATTCCAATCCCTATGACAGCCCTTATCACAGCCTGGCAGGTAGCCACACTACTTGCTTTGTCACACTCCTCTGCGTCCTGCAGGGTATGAACAAGCATTTAGAAGGATAGACACTTTGGTAGAAGAAGAAGAAGGGTGCAAAAATTACTGGATGAACTGCTGGTATCAATTCTAGGTAAGCCATTCAAATGAAATGATAAAGTGATTAACACAAAAATAATTCTAATATTAATTAGAAAGAAATTTTAAAACTGACATCAGAACACCTGCAGATTTATAAAATAATAATAATATTAAAGCTGACAGACATTAATAAGCAAATATTTGCGGTGACAAGAAAAAAATACCACTGGCAAAAAAAAGAAAAAAGAAACAAATAAAACAACTATGCAAAAGAGGAATTTCAGTTAAAGCCAATTACTGCAAAACAGCTGTGTACTGCACTAAAGAAAACATTAGACACAGTGGTGTGTTGTTTTGCATCCAGATGAAACATTACTGGCATCTCTTTGAGGATCTTGTGTGAGTTGTTTGCTGTTCTCACAAACCATTCATTTAACATGTCCCACACTTGGCAAGTGGATTGCTGGGGAGCCAAGGAAGAGTAGGGTTGACTTCAAAGTTGTTTGGATAAGTGTTCCGCATATTCTGGCTAAAAGCCGTTTTCTCTTCACAACAGTGAGACAGGTAATGTGTAAACAGGCAATTCTCTGGAGCCTTTAGGGGACTCTAGTCATGTAAATGTAAAATAAATCAGTAGTTTGTCTTTGCAAGGTTTTAATTTGCTCTTGCAGACTTACAAACTTAACTCCACAGCAAAGTCTCTAAAAGAGTAAGTCCAACAACAACCAATGAACAATTCGCAATAACAAGTTCGTATGAAATCTCCCAAAACAGATCCTCGCTTCAAGTTTAAGTGCAGCAGGCTGTTCAGCGTGAATCTTTGGGCCTTTTCAGAAACAGGATACGTCACATTATTGGCTTCCTCACTTAGTTAACCCTTTAAGACCTACCATAGAACCAAGTCCGCCAGAGCTTATATTATATTTTTACATGCTGTAGAGCCATTTTTGGGAGCATTTCAAGTTGATATACATCAATACAACCATTATAGCTCAAATTTAAATAATATGTCTGCATTAAGTGCATAGTAATAACATAATTTGCAAAAAAGTGCAATAAACTACAAAAAAATTTAAAATCGTTTTTGTTTTTTTAACATATATTTCTAGTTAGAGAAATTTAAGAGGCTTACCCCTCAAAACTGCAAATACAAAAAAGTTGCACAAAATAGTTTCCCACCACAGGAAATTTATTTTAAAGTGTCTTCATAGTTTTATTTTTGAAATACACCAATTTTTATATACTGCAGGAAAAATGAAAATAAATATTATAATGCAAATTTGCAAAAAAAAAAAAAAACAGCATATGCATCAAAATAAACTATTTCCAGCAGTGCAATACGAGTCCTAAGCATCCCAGAAACGACACAGAAAGTCATAAAGTCAAACATAACTTTTAAAAACACCAGTATAGGCTCATAAGGCCCTGATGGTAAAAAAAAACTACATTTCCGCAAAATGACGTCACTTCCGGTTTCGGGCAGGTCATGGCGGACATGCGATAGTTCGCGCTGTTGGATATAGGAAGTGTTACAAATAGCTAGAGCTGGGCGATATAAGATTTTTTCATATCACGATGTTTTTTTCATTTCAGGCGATAACGATATCTATCACGATATAAGCCAAATAACTATATTTGTAAGATTTAAATGTGCCGTTGCTCACAAGTAAAATGTGAAATAATCAGCAGCTTGTTTTTATTTAAATATTTATTTCCCATAATAAGTTCAACAGGGTAGATGTACTTAAGGAACATGAGACTTTTTCAGATAAATAAAGGCAAATATTGCAAACTACACAAAAGGCAGCCGCTAAAGCGTTTAAGTTTCAAAATAGAACAAATGAAACAGACTCCTAAATTGTCAATTCCACTTAGAAACAAAATATTAATTCTAAAAATAAATCTTAGTTTGTTTTACAGAAGAACAGACAAAACTGACTAACTTTTGTCAATATCAAATAAACTGAGAACTAAAAGGAAATTCTCAATCTCTTCTTGTTGTATAGCTGAGCTTTTCAAACAGTTTTAACAGTTACTTTAGTCTGACAAAAGCCGAATGACGAATTAGCGCTTCCAGTCAGAGACTGAGGCTACGTCCACACGTACACGGGTATTTTTGAAAACGGAGATTTTCCGTTTTCGTTTTAAAAAATAATCCACACATAATCCACACACCGTCCACACATAAAGGCAGAAATGAAGGAAAACGCTGCTATGAACATGCCGAAGCAGCAGGTGGCGCTAGATTCCTAACCGTGCAGAAATGTTGGCCAATCAGAAGTCTAGAAGCCTCGGTGGGAAATAGTAAACAAAGCTGGGGCATAGAAGCAGAACCGAGTCGGGGCATAGAAGCAGAACCGAGTCGTATGTGTGGAGGGACAGTAACTGTGTGTATATGTAAGCATTTAAACACTGCAGAGAGTACAAGTAACAGTAACAGTATTGTAGAAATTCATTTCACCGAAACAATAACGTGGCGCACAGTGTGACGTCAAAAAATGCGCACACCTTTGACGCTGCGTTTTCTCCGTTTTTCTAGTCCACACGTAAATGCAAAAACGGGAGTTTTCAAAAATCTTCGTTTTCAGTGACCAAAAACGCCGTTTACGTGTGGACGAAAGGTGCAAACTAGGGCTGGGCCATATTATACCGTTCACGATAATACCGGTATAAAGTTCGGCAACGATAGGAAAATGAAATATCGCGATAGAATGTGGGCAAAATGCGCATGCGCAGTGCCTTTGTTTTCATACGCACATGGCAGAAAAAGTATGGCGGCAATGGAGGATGACACGGACGAAGGCGCGTCTTTGAATGAAGCGGGTGAGCCAGAATTGGTCAGTAAAAACGGTGCAACTTCGGTGGTGTGGAAGTGGTTTGGTTTTCGTCCATCGGATACCCACCAAAGCAAAATTTTTTGTAGAACATGCAAGCGGGCCATCGCGGCGAAGGGAGGAAACACTACAAACCTATTTTATCATTTGAAGCAGAAGCACTCCTCTGAGTACAAAAAAGCCATTAAAGCACGTGAAGAGTTGTCCGCTTCAACTAGCGAGGTGGTAAGACCAAAGAAGATGACTCAACAAACAATCTACGTAGCTTTAAATAGCTCCATGCCTTTTGACAAAAGTAACAAACGCTGGGGGGAGCTAACTAATGCAGTGACACATTGTTTAGCCAGGGATATGATGCCTATTCAGAGTGTGGAAAGAGAAGGTTTCAAAAAGATGCTTAAAACGTTCGATCCACGCTACAAGCTACCCACAAAGAAATACTTCTCTAAAGTCGCCTTGCCTGCTTTATATGAAGAGGTCCGTACTGAGGTGTCAAATGCGTTATCTTCGGTGGAGTTTTTTGCGTCCACCACGGACATGTGGTCAAGCCGAACATCAGACCCCTACATGAGCCTCACAATACATTATGTGGACAAAGACTGGAAGCTACAAAACAAGTGCCTCGAAACATGTTTTTTCCCCGAGGACCATACTGGGGAAAATATAGCCAGAGTCTTAAAAGAGTTCCTCAGCTCGTGGAATCTTCAGGAGGAAAAACAAGTGTGTGTGACGACTGACAACGGGGCCAACATTGTGAAAGCCGTCGCACTCAACAACTGGACCAGACTTTCATGCTTCGGACATCGCCTGCACATTGCAATAGGTACGTTTTTTTGGTGTTTTTTTGCTATAGGTAAGTTAATTATAACGTCAGATTAAGAACTTATTGTATTAGTTTAAATGATGGTAATAATACTGTTTGTGTTATTAATCTCTGAATGTGGGTAGTTGTACTGCAAGATATATCTATATATATATATATATATATATATATATATATACATACATATATATATATATATTAGAGAGAGAGAGAGATGTGTGTGTAAATAATTGTGTGTTATACAACTTAAATGTCACATTCCACACCGCATTAATAGTGCTGTTGAAACTGTGTTTCCTTTTAAATGTATGTCTTTTAGAAAGAAGTGTGAAGGACCCAAGGATCGAACGAGCAGTTGGAGTGGGAAAGAAGATTGTTGCTGCTTTTGGCCATAGCTGGAAGCGCCAGCGAGCTCTGCAGGCTGCCCAAAAGGAACTGGGCCTACCAGAACACAAACTCATAACTGAATGTTGCACTCGTTGGGGTTCAAAGCAGAGAATGATCCAACGGCTGCTGGAACAAGAAAAAGCTATAACACAGGTTTTAGCTGCTGATAAAACCACAAGGCACCTCATGTTGACATGGCAAGACATTGAAGTGCTTGACTCGGTCAGCACTGCACTGAATCCACTCCTAGAGTTTACAGATGCTTTCTCTGCTGAAGAGTATGTAACCATTTCATGTGTTAAGCCTGTTCTTCAGATGTTTAACAATGACATGTTAAAAGTAAAAGAAGGTGACACTGAGCTGACCAAAGACATCAAAACAGCAATACTTGACTACATGAACAAAAGCTACACAGACAGTGTCACAGAGAGGCTTGTTAACATGGCTTCTTTCCTTGATCCACGGTTTCATACAGAATATTTCAGTGAGAGAGAAAGCAAAGCCATCAAAGTTCAAGTCATGAGTGAACTAGAGCATCTTGTCCCACACCAGGGTATCACAGGTTTTTCAGAAACACTTCATACATCTACTGGTGACCAAACAAATCAGGGAGCTGTTAAAAAGCAAAAGAAGAGTCTCGGGAGTTTTTTGAAGGGACCAGTTAGTGGCAAGATGGAGGTAACTGCAGAGAGGTTATCATCTGAACTGAGATGTTATGTGAATAGTCCACCAGCAGACAGTGAGTGTGATCCTCTTTCGTGGTGGAAAGTTCACACAGTAAACTTTCCCCACATCAGCAGATTAGCTAGGAAATACCTCTGCATTCCAGCAACTAGCTCTGCATCTGAAAGGTTGTTCAGCACAGGTGGAAATGTTGTAACTTGTCAAAGGTCCTCCCTTAAGCCCGCATCTGTGAACATGTTAGTGTTTCTGACAAAGAATCTTAAAACTTGAAATGTAGAAAAACTTCCAGGAGCAGTAGCATAATTTATCTGTTTTTTGTTTGTTTTGTTTTTACTCAAGAGTTTGTGCAATATTATTATTTGACTTATTGATTTTGCACACTGCACTTTTGTTACAAAGCACCTCTTAAGTTTTGTGGATATACATGATTATGGATAACCATGTATATAACAGGATAACCACTGTTGAATTTTGTGTGGCTGTAATGCACGTTAAAATAAACAGCTGCTTGTTTAAACAAAAACAAATTGATGGGGTTTTTTTCCACTAAAAAAGTTGTAGAGTTGTATTTTGTTTTGCGTCAATTATATCGTCAGTTATATCGTTATCGCAAATTTTCAAATCTATATCGTGATAAATATTTTTTGCCATATCGCCCTGCCCTAGTGCAAACGCATAGAAAAATCTGCGTTTTCAAAAATACCCGGGTACGTGTGGACGTAGCGCATGCACCAGTTTATTGTATTTCCAGACTTGCTTTCGGCACAATTTACAGCGCACGCTACTCTGTTTTTTGTCAGACTTGAAATAGCCGAAATACCTTCACACTACGGAACTTCTATGGCTCTTCCGTTCGACAATCTCTCCGGCATTGGAACTATCATCTGTTTTCTCTTCGGTAACCTTCGGTCACGCTCGGTTGATTTCTCTAGTCGGTTCACTCTTTTCCTTAATTACCCGGGCGGTAGGGTGGCTGGCTGCTTCCCAAACAAATACACATGTGCGGCTTGGCACTTGTGCTGTACGTAACAAGTCACGTGACGTGACGCTGCGGCTGTGATTGGTTCGGCTCTGCGCTACTTAATTTGGATTGGCTGTTCTTTTTTTTTTTTTTTTTTTAAGAGGACAAGAGCGGCGAGGTCTATCGCGATAGTTTAATTTTTCTATCGAGAAAAAGTTATATCGCGATACATATCGTTATCGTTCTATCGCCCAGCTCTACAAATAGCTGATCGGATCGGCAAAGCGTGTTTCTGGAATATTATGTTTTTGTTGCTGCAAGTGCTTTTTATGCAATTTTTGCAAAGCTATGCGTGGAAGGAAACTGCGACCTAGGACAAGCTGATGGCATCAAATGTAAGTTCAACTCCTCCGGTTTCATATGCAAAAAAAATTATTGCACTAGCTTAAACGGTTGCAGTGCTACCGGGATTTAAAAAAAGTTACGCAAAACGGAGCGTGCCTGCTCTGACCGGCTTTAAAGGGTTAAAGTGATTCCCTCATTCAGGCATGACTCACTTTTGTGCTAGTGTTTTTTGTGTGCTGTAGTGATCTTACTGTTGCCATCTTGGTTAAAAAATGGGATGTGACAAAGACGAATGAGCATGCCTGTGAAATGGCTTGTTTATTGGCTGTTGCCTGGTCAATCACAAGTTGTTAGCCAATGAGCATATCCTCTTTTTTTTTTAAGGAAACATACTCAATTTTTTTCCCTTCAGCATGTCCTGAAATGAGTGACTGATCCCATTAAATCATATTGAAAATTTAAGTGCTAAGAAAGCCATTTTTTCCATTTTGACTTTTTGTGACTTTTTGAGTCCTCAGCTTGATAGCTGAGGACTCAAAAAGTCACAAAAAGTCTGTTAGCCTTCAGATCGAATGCAGGTTTAAAGCACATCACAGTTCAAAGTGGGAGCCACTCATTTATGAATAAAAATAACAAGCAATTTGGTCTCCCTTTATCTTCTCAGTCATTTCAAAGAAAACAGAAAGCCCCAGAAACAAACCTGTATCCACTGTTCTCTGTTGATCTCCACACCATTGGCACGCAGAGAAGTGATGGCTCGGTCAATGATCTTTTCGACCATCTGAGTGTTCCCATTGGCCTCCTCCAGCTTCGCAGCAGTGATCCAGATGTGGCGATCAGTGGGGATATTCTCTCGAGCTTTGTTCAGGACACGACGAGCGTTCTCATACGTCTCTAACCGGGCCAGTGCCAGCCAGAGCTAGAGAGGACAGAGAGTTAGTTATAAAGTTCATTGCATATGTTCATATATTGTGCTGCACTCTGAGACATTCAGTCCAATTTCCAAATGTTCATGTTGGTGAAGTACCTCCACACTTGTAGGGCAACACTCCACAGCTCTGCTGAGCATGATCCTGGCATCCTCTGGTTCCTCCAGTTCAACAGCTGTCTTCCACAGTCGAACTGACTTGGATACATTTTCCAGCGCTATGACAGGGAACAGTTAAATAAGTACTAAGTTATTTTGCTGATGCTTTTTATTTTGAATAACTTCAATGCAAGAATTCATAAAAACAAGAACACAAAAACTATTTAACAAAGATCCTATAGAGCTCAGAGAACACACAAGCACAGACAACAAAAATAAATAACATATTTTCAACAGTGTCAGCTGGGATGGGAGTGTGCTTTGTATGTAACTGAGAAAAGTAGAGCAGAGGCAACTGAACATGTAGAGGCGGAGTAAGCTCTTCCTCAGAGGAAACGCTGATCCATCTCTGTCAGTGGGGTATGCTGCTGGGAAGTGTTAATAAGCGTTTGTGTGTGTGCGTAAGTTAGAGCATTGACACCATGGTCTCGCTTTGACAAGAAGCCAGAAACACAGCTGCCAAATGTAACTGTGATAAAATCTTTTGTTGCAACCTTATGAATAAAGAAAGTGAGCAGATCTGTGCGGGTGATTTTATAAGAAGATAAACAGATTGAGACTGGTCTTGAGTTTTGGCCCTGCAGAAATTAAGTTTCTTTCTTTTGGCAGAAATGGTTCATTCTGATATGCATTGCTGGGAAGGCGCATGAACTTCGGCTCATATCATAACAGGAAGATGAATTTCTGGTAATCTGTGAATAAATAAACACAAACACACAAAAAAGCTTTTTGTTAAATATTGGAGGGGATAAACGACAACCTTACCCTTTCTGAGGACTCGTTTCTTAGCCCTGACGTCTGTCTCCAGCTCTGCAGCTCGGATATAGATGCGCACAGACTGTGGAAGGTGACGGACAGCCTGGGCTACCACCGCTTTGGCTGTGTCACCAGGCTGGAGCCTGGCAGCCTCCAGCCACACATCCTCACTCTAATCCAAAGGGAAAACACTTATTTAAACAGGAAAGCACAAACCATTGCCCCCATTTGCAACTTATTCAAGAAGTAATGTTACGTCTTAAATTTAAGCAGCTGTTACATTATAATACTAGCGATATACTAATACCATATTCTAAGAAATGCAATCTTAGAGATTATAGGGTTAATTTGAGCAAAATATCCAGAAAACATCAGCATCCTTGTGTTGTCATTTAATAGTTTTATTGTACTGTTTAACTTCCTTTACCTTCGGACACATCTCTGTGCCTTTCATGATCAGGTTTCTGGCCACCTGCAACTTCCCAGTCACCTCCTCCAGCCTGGCAGAAGCAATCCAGGCAGGTGGGTGATGGGGATTTGTTTCCCTCACTGATTTCAGCAGCAGACGAGCCTTCTTGATGTCACTGAACAAGCAGAGCCACAAATAAGCGATTAAACACATATACACACAGCAACTTCTTTTACACAAATATAGCAATCTGATGCTGTCAGTGTCTCTCTACCTGATGTCTCCTCCATAAGTGGGGATCATAGAGTTAAGATCTGTCAAGTAACCCTTGGGATCCACTACTGTTTGTCCACTCACTGAGTCAGACACCTGAATACAGAAAACATGTAGACAAAGGGATAGAGAATAGTTAAGTTGTTTCTATCAGTATAATGGCAGCAGCATGAATCCTAGAAGAAAGTAAAAGTGAAAGTTGCGCTAGGTGATGCATCATTTACCTGACTGAGCCTCATATCCATGAGTGTGTTTCTGGCCTGACCAATTTTCCTCATATCCAGTTCTCCGGTCCCTGGTGTCATCAGACCAGGTGTCATGCTTCCTGGATAAGGTGTGTTCAGACCTCCCAGCTAGTAGAGATAGGAAACAATGTCAACAGAGAGGAGCAACACAGTCTGTGAGAAGTCTGTCATGGCACGTTTAAACAGCTCTTGAAACAAAAGCCTGAATCATGTAACACTTTTCTAGCCAATGCAAAATGACACAAATTACTTCAATCTTTTAATTTAAAGTCAAGCAATGACTTTTTCTCTGTTAGGAGGCTATACCTCTTAAAAAACTCAACTTTTTAAATCAGCACGCATGTCTCCATTTTCAATTCATGGACGTCTACCTGCATGCACAGGTCAATGAAGTGTCCCTTTCAAATGTATTTTAAATGCCAACAAAGTTCGTGTGACCAATTACTGTAGCAACAGGTGTCCAGTCTGTTAAACAGAGAAAAACTGAGCAAACTGCTGTAACTGGAGAGTAACTTTTTTTCCAAGGAGATATCCTGACTCCTGCTGGGCCATAGTGAAACTACACCCTGAAGTTTAGTGAAGTGCACTTGGAAGTAAATATGAGTTACAAAAATTATTTCTATTTGTATACACAGTATACTGACCCCTTGCAATGGGTCAACAGAGGTGTGGTTCTCTCCACTCTGCAAGTGTTTGGAGAAGAAGCTGTCGGGGACAGGGGTGAGCTTCTCATAGCGGGGATTCCTCTGGCGCTTGTTTCTGGCATCTCCCACTTCAGGAATGCTCAGCCATTCCTCCTCTGACACCTCTGCAAGCTTCCTCTGTAGAGAAATAGTAAAGAAAGATGTTGGAGAAAAGAATGGGATGTGAGCATTGCTTTCATTTACGATTGTTTGATAATACCTGAGTACCTAAGCTAAATGTGATTTACTGCACAGAATCTGCAAATATCTGTACTGATTAAAATAGCACCTCTATTTTAATCAGTATTTTATTTCCTCAGTAAAACAAGAAGAAAAGGGAACACTGTTTCAGAGACAAACATGCAAGGCACTTTTCACTACTAGGCTATGACTAAGCTATTTTCACAGAAAGATCTTAGCCTGGGAATTCATTGCTTAAAAATCATGAATCTAGAGACTATAACCGATCCTGCCTGTGGCTATCTCATTGTACAATTCTTCCATTTAAAGCACAGTGTATGCTGTACTGCCTGCACATGCTTACTATTTGCACATCCTCTACAGAGAAAACAAAAAAGCACAGTATGACAAGAGGGGCACCACAATGTCAACTATATATTTCATTTGTGTAATATACTGGGACATTTATCATTAAAGCCATTTATAATTAAAGCCATTTTTTTTATATTAGAGCTATTTTATTATATTGCATAACTTTGCAATATATTGAAATATTTAATTTATTTTAGTTAGCTGCTGTTCTT